ATACCAGTATTCCGTTTTTTTTGTTAGGTGACTCAACTGAGGACGACAGAAAATCATGGATAACAACCCAGGCTACTTTCTAGTATTTATACTGGACATTTGACTATTTAGTTATTGTGTAAGTTAGACAGTGGATGTAGTACTTAACGGGTTGAATCTTCTAACTGAAAGATATTTTCTCATGGGGATTTCGTCATGTCTAGTAGTGTATCATGAACTGATTTGGTTCTAGCCCTCATTCAATGAATGTAGTTATTACTCTCTGTTACCACCAGGAGGCAGCAATGATGAACCCACCAACTCTTTAAACTCTGCCAAAGGTCAAACCTAGATCCTAATGTTTACAAGTGGTCATTTTCTGAATTTTTCTACTCACAATATTGACAGTATTAGAGCAGGTAATTCCCCATCTTGTGTAACTTGTGTTTTGACTCAAGTCTGGCTATTTCAAGTGTGATCCTGAATTGCAAACATATTTAGCCAACAATATGTCTTCAATATAGACATACAATATACTTTTTTATGTCTTCGAAAAAAGCTTTCTAAAAGACAACACATCGCATTAAAAAGGTTACATGGGTGTACCCTGACCCTGTAAGTTATATAGCCTCAGAATCAAGTATAACCACACAGCTTATTATTGTATCTGTTTAACTCACTTAACTCCTTAATCGTGACTTATTCACACAAACTCAAGAGCAAAGGATTTCTACTTCCTGTAGTGAAGGCCATAGAGGACACAACCACCGATCCATTGTAGACAATAATATTCAACAACTAGCTATAGGATACAGGACAACCAGCCAATTTCTGCTTGAATTGTAAAAGTTATAGGTTTCTTTCATTGAGTTGTAGGCTATAAAGTTAACACCTTGTGCTTAACAACATTTTAAATAAAAGTAAAGTAACATCCCTTTTAATAATCATATTAGTTGTAAGGCTATAGTATTCTTCTGAAATGCTTCACATGTTTTTACTAGGAGGCGGAGCCCCATGGCATGTTCACGCTTTCATCCATTCAAGGATCAATGAGCATACATTCTGGCATTTGGTGGCTTTTCTGGAAAGCAGTCTCCTGTAGGTGCAGGCCCCCGCAGCTGATCATATTATTTCAGCTGTTGTGCTGCACTCACCTTCAGTGCGGGCACCACTATGGACCGCAATAGGAATGACTGGCACAGGACAAGAAGAGAAAGGAAAACCTACAAGCAACAGAATGACGGATGACAGGAGTACTACACTGCACATCCTTGAGGAGCCTCAGATGCGGAGAGAAGGGGCGAGACTTCAAACTTTTCAGAACTGGCCAGCAGATGCTCCTGTCACATCTGGAGAGCTGGCCAAGGCGGGCTTTTTTTTTCAAGGCCCCGGGGATAAAGTCCAATGTTTCTGCTGTGGAGGCATTTTAAGATGTTGGGTACATGGGGACTGCCCGGCCGAAGAGCACAAGAGGCATTTCCCCACTTGCAGTTTCATACTGGGTCGACCTGTGGGGAATATTGCTCTCATAGTCGGATCCTCTGACTCCGTGGATGGCCAATTTATGAGCCAACTCCAGAGGATGACTATAGATGAACAGGGCACATCTGGACAGGCGGTGTACCCAGAGATGGAGGCAGAGGATTCCCGGCACACTACTTTCCACAACTGGCCCACAGATGCCTCAGTCCAACCAGATGTTCTTGCCAGAGCAGGATTCTTCTACACAGGTACACCATTGTCTCACTATTACGTTTAAATAAAAGTATATCATACTTCTTTAATGTCTTAACATTTACCAGCATTTGAGTGTCCATGAGAACATTTGAGTGAAAGATTCAGCGTTGTCCCAGTCACTGCTAGAGCGACCTCTCTTTGTGAGAGAGTTCATGGTACAATTGTCCTGCTGAGTCATGATGTTGTGGACAGAACAAGCTGGACAGAGCTGGGGCTGCTAAAGAAGTAGGGCTTCCACAGCTTCAGGCAACACACAGAGTGGGCACAATATTGTGAAAACCAATACAAAATAGTACAATACATAAAGTAACCCATAATGAATTGTGCTTTTGTGAAGCTCATATTGTTGTTGTTTTTTTGCGACGGTCAAAGAGGAGTTAATTCACCTTATCACATTATAGGTTTCAGTTCTTGGACGATATTGATTCCTTTTACAATCTGACGTAGCCTATATAGCGATGTTTTTGTGAATTTAAGACTAAAGGAGTGTAAAGAGATGGTCTGTGTTAAATTGTTAGTGTCATTAGACTCCTCTCACGGCATTGCTGTTTACCCCTACAGGCCACGGTGACAATGTGAAATGCTTCTACTGTGACGGAGGGCTGAGGAACTGGGAGGCAGGAGACGACCCCTGGCAGGAGCATGCCAAGTGGTTCCCACGGTAACAGCAGGACTTATAACACACAGATAAAGAAATCAGTTCAATGCATTACTTGCCAATCTTTGCACTGGCAAATGAAAATGTCTTCTCAATATAACAGCAGTGTAACGTTTTGGTTTTGTGTTCTGCATTAATGCTTCAGCAGATTATAAAACAGTGTCTTTATATTTCTCAGATGTGAGTTTTTAATCCAGGCGAGAGGAAGGGAGTATATCAGCAACATACAGGATGCTCATTTCCATCTGGGTGAGACTGTGGTGAGAGCTTTCATCCCTCCTATCTGTTCAGAATAAAGTCTGGTAGTGCAGACATTATAATCACACATTCATAAATTGCATTTTTTGTAATTGCCGACTTTGACCAATGAATAAAAAACATGGTCACTTTACTTTTCTAGGTTGGATCAGAGACTCCTACAGGCAGAGATATTGGATCCAGAAATGGTAAGTCATATGACATTTAAAAAAGCAAGGAATGCTGGGTATTTACCAACAATGTATATTCCCACTAAGCAGATTGGATAACAAGATAGCAGCCTGCTCTGATGCCAATAATTATCTTTGTGCACCCAGTGGTGCAAAGAATCAAAGTGTCAACATCAACTATTGCTTGTTCACACAAAAGAGTAGAGATAGAGTAAACATTGATGGGAGCATTGCAGGTTGTGCAAGCATAAATAAATAAATGCTGCAACCAGTTGATTCAATTATTCTGCAAGGTTGATCAAAGAAGGTTGACAAAGCATACATACACCACAGCACTGCTTAAAATCTTTAATTGGACTCTTACTCTTTGAAATAAAGTAGGTCCATTACTTTTCTTTGAGACGCTGCTGCAAATGAAATAACTGCAGCTAATGTTTGCTATACGATTGCAGTATATGGAAACCATCTGTAGCCCGTGGTTACCATCAAATGTAGGATAACAATTATAATCTATTTCAGCATGTGTATGCTAAAGGTAAGTGGTTTAAAATATTAAGGTACAAGTAGATGCACCATTTGTCATTACATCTTATGTTTCCCCTTGTAAATGTCCCTATAGTTAATGTAACATGGAGTCGATATGTAGATGTTTTGTCCTCTGTGGCTGGTCACTGCTTGTGTCTTCCTCACCTCTTCCCCCCCCCTCTCATGTCCCAGATGTGGTCGGGGGTCTGAGAGCGTCCTCGGCCATGCTCTCTCCTGTGGTGCAGACTGTGCTGCAGATGGGCTTTGAGGCGAGCCTGGTGGAGAGTCTGGTGCAGACCAAGTACCTTCTGTCAGGTCAGCACTACACCTCTGTGTCCGACCTGGTCACTGACGTGCTGCAGGCGGAGCAGGAGGACAGACAGAGGGGACTACAGAGCAGAGGTAACAGGCAGTGGGAAGACACAAGTACATATACTCAAGTATGGTACTTAAGTATATTTCTGGGGTACTTGTACTTTACTTGAGTATTTCCATTTTATGCTACTTTATTTTACTTGTACTCCGCTAAAATTCAGAGGAAAATATTGTATGTTTTGCTTGACATTCATTCGGATTAAATATTTAACATGACCTAAAATAGAGAACATTGTTAAATATTAAGCCAGTGGTTTCCAACGTTTATGGCTTCTGATCTCCATTTATTTTGGTTCAGGCTGGATGTTTTACAAATTAATGAGTCTTCAGTAGTTGGATTTACTTTTGATACTTTAGGAAAACAGTTGAATGATGCTTTTCTTAATGCAAGACTGTAGCTTGTACTAAAGTATTTTTACAATGATATATTGTTAGTGTTACCAAAATCTTAATACAATAATAACAATTATCTTAATACATGCGGAAGCACTGTCATTTTCCATTGTCACCTTCAAATACAATCTGTCATAAGCTTTTTGACTATTTTCATATAAGCAATAACATGACGTAAACATCAATGTTACAATGGACAGTTTTCTCTTTCACATTTTGTCCTTCAGAGACAGATACTGTGCAGGGCTCCAGTGCTGGACTTGTGAGGACTCAAACACGCGTCAGAGAGCAAGGTCAGAGGTCAAAGCCTAGGCTGTATGATTTGCAGGAAAATAAGAAACTTTTGAGCTTGTAACACTTTTCAATATGTTGCTGACATATGATTGCTTTGCAGATGCAACACTTGGCTGGTAAATATTATGTATGCAATATAAAGCTCATCTGACCTTCTGTTTGTGGTTTCTCTAACAGTAAAGGACCCGAGCCCTGAGGAGCTGCTGAGACAGCTCCAGGAGGAGCGGACCTGTAAGGTGTGCATGGACAAACTGGTGTCCATCGTCTTCATCCCCTGTGGTCATTTGGTGGTGTGCGGGGACTGCGCTGCCAGCCTGCGTCACTGTCCAATCTGCAGAGCGGTGATTAGAGGCAGCGTTCGTGCTTTCATGTCCTAACGCTGTAGTGTTAAAATGCTGTTTCACAGGTGTTGCATGAGTGGTCTAAATCTGTATTAAATTTGACCTACTAGTGATAGAAAAGGATTATTTCCGGTCAGAGTGTGCAGATCGTTTTCTATAATAAACATTTAAAGCTGTTCAATATGAGTATGTATTATTATTTCCAGTAAGAGGGCACTTTACCAAGAACACTTTTTAAATGCACAACACATCTACTGAATGACACATATAATTAAAAGAGCACATTCTTTTATTAACAAACATCTATTTACAGGAGCACAAAGCACAGTTCTGGATAAATAGGATTACACAATCAGGTCACATGGGGTGTGGCATCACAGGACACAAAATAGAAGAGAGAGAAACAAAAAAAGATGTTTTCCACTTCATATACAAAGAAAAATAATTATCTACAAACAGGTGGAAACGTTTTCAGTGGAGACTAGCACATACACACAAACCCATACCAGGTCTCAACTAATTCCAGTCACCGGGGTTTAGGAAGAGGCTGTATTGCACTGAGAGGAAGACTAGTTTTTACATAGTAGCATTTACTACTAATACTGATTATATTACAATATGAGGTGCTTTGTGTTTTCACTAACCCACACACCAGTAAGCCTACCAGGGGGGTGTAAACCTTAGAGACATAGACAAGACATGAATTATTGCATCTTGCCAATAGAGGGGTGACCAATCAAATCAAGTTAGGTCACTCATCAGTCTGAAATAAGATGGCAAAAGAGGTCAGATTTAAGAATCATAACAGTTTGTGGACTGTCATCTGGCAGTGAAAAACATCTACTATCACAGAGGAATCTGACACACAGCGAGATATTTTTAGGTGCTGACAAAAAAAAAAAGACTGACGACAGAATGAACTCCTTTGTTCAGAAATCTTTTGATTCCCCCAAAAATGCTAAGCAAAACATTTCAAACATAGCACCAAGAAATATTGAAATCGGACAAAAATGTTTTGCAATTAAATCTGGTAGGCAACAATTGATCCTGACCTGAATGATAAGGAAAAGGACCAAGTGTAACACTAAAACAATAGTTTTGAGTCACCTCCTCCAACATGGCAATTACAAAAAAACATACTATTGCAAAATTAACTGTAATCTGCAGATAGAAAATTATAATTTTTAAGACAAAACATGGGGATTTATGGACCCTGTAGCAGATACGCAGCAGCCTTGCAACTTGTATATGAACTCTTTGAACACCAGAGAGCAGTAGTGATTCACACAGCCAGTAAGGCAACAGGGATCCAACTTTACTTCTAAAAGATCTCCTATTAACAACAAAAAGTGCTACCAATCAGTATAGTAGTTATGACCCACATTTGCCTAAATATAAACGTGTAACATAACTTGGTCAGAATAAAATTAATCTGAGTATGAAACTACTCAGCAGAAGCTTTGAGTTGCTATTTAACCAGCGTATATACAGCCAGTTTAAGACATCAGTTTTGCAATTTCGTCATTACTTAATATGTTATACACATACTTACAATACAAACCCTGTAAAAAACATGCTATAAAACAATCACAAATGAGACTATCACCACTGAGAATCAACACTGTTCAACTGACAGGCCATACCCATTCAAATCAACGTTCCAGTATGCAATATGAAAAGTAAAAGCATTTATATTGTTTTCTTAAAGTTAAAATATGTTGTGCAACCTTTTCTTGACTGTCTGTCAGCCGCTCAATGTGTCAATAGATAGAGGAGAAGAAGCAAAGTGAAAACAAAGCTTTCTTTTATCACCATACTCTTGAGAAATACTGACGTGGCTGTTGGTTGAAAATAGTCACAATAAGATGCCAGAAATAAAAGTAAGACTCACATGGCCTTCCTTGTGTTTGAACATCTCTTAAACGCTCTTGCATTCATCATAATTCACATTTCAAACTCTAAATCCCCCAAATCTTCCCCCTTCTCGTTTCATTATTTACATTTTCTATTTTTGACAGATGCCCCTGTAGGCTTGGTGCTTTTGTTCCCTTCCCTTCCCTCCCTCTACCTCTCCACTCCCCTGCCTCTTCCTGCTTTGCTTGTGTATTTATGCACACAGATCCTGGCCTAAAGTAAACAGGCAGCGCACAATGGCTCATTCCACGGGCTACACTGTAATTCAGCCCTCCGGCCAAGATCTGAGCCAAACCAGCAGTAACATGCTAAATCACAGAGTCCTCTAAGACACAGCACCACAGACTGGGAACGCTGGACAGTCTCTGATTACACACATAATGTATTTATATGCTCTATACAGTCTTGGGGAGTATTAGACCACTATAGGAAGGTCACAGCAATGGAACCTCAGCAAAGAACTCACAGAATAAGATTGATACTTCCCATTACATATTACACAATATGAGGCTTTGTTTCACTGAAATCCCTCCTTTCCCGTAACCCGTCATCCCTCCCTGGAAAACAATGGAGCCTGACTGAGAATTGTTGGTTTTTCTGGGCAGTAGACCAGTAAATGACATGTTTTAAAGAACTGAAATGAAGAAAGGGGAGGAATGTCTGGCGTGCCCGAGTGAATTGGGATGTTTGTGTCACAACAGCCATTTTGTCTCCGTGGGAATTTGCTGTGTCACCTCCCCGCTGGACGCTCTCTTATTTACGGAGACCTGCAGAGAACAGAAATATGGGAAGAGAAAGAAGAGAGTAAGCGGTTGTTGGGCAACTCACAGTCAAACACAGAAATTCCCCCTTGAAAAATGTCTCCTGGATATAACTCCCGGTAGATTGGGGGAGAAGAAAACGTCCTCTCTCCCATTAGAGACGGAGCTGATTAAACTGTCAAGAAGCTAATAAAATATTCATGTCATGTGGGAAGAGAATTATAACATGACTTCCCAGACTTATTGTTATTAAGTTCTTTGCATAACATAATTGATTAATCCAATGTTTGACAGATTTGCGTGTGTTTTTCTCCATATGCTTCTTTCAGTTAGTTATCACACAAGTGCTCCACACACACACACTCACACACACACACACACAATGGTGTCATGAGAGGCCTTCATATTTTCAACAGCCCTCTGACAGGATGTGGCATGTTTCAGAAAGACATGTACACCCCTGATAGCTCCAGAGCCATCAGTGCTAGTCAGTGTTGTGTTGTAAACTCCTGAATCCTGATCAAACATTAACATAGCTCTGGAACAAGAGACTAATTTGGCCTTGAGTTGAGATTAGCTGTTCTGATTAATGAAAGTTTTTGGAGAAAATCAGGGGATGTAACCTTGAAGAGGAATAAATAACAAGCAGGCAACAAATAGGTCAAACCCAAATTGTATGTGGCCCCAAAAGGCAACGGATAATGTTAATATTTACACATGTGTGCTCTTACACACACATATGGTGGCATGACATACTTACAGGTACATGGGCTTTAAGAGGAGATGAGATGGTTTCTCATTGACATGGTAGAGTGGGAATGGGTCAAATCCACCAATAAAATCAACTGAAAACAAAGGATTAAACACATAAATTATGGAGTAAATCAAAAGACAAATGATAACAAAAAAGACACTGACGTAAATAAAAAGACAGGCATGATGAAAAAATGATAAAAGCACACAGCTGAGTGAGAAATGAAATGATACGCAGTGGGAACAGATGTAATGAAGTGATGTTGAAAGGTAGGCAGCTTGCCAAAAGCAATACAAGTCTTTTTTTAGTTTTAACTAACTTTTTTTCTTTTATCTGTGCGTCTGCCTGCGGCTATGACGAAGCTCGGGAACAGGTAAAAGCTGGCCAGCTGTCAAAATAGCCAAAACCTTTTTATCGCTCAGAAACAGAGGTGACCTTCAGCCGGCGACCGAACGCTCAAGCCTTTCTGTTTATTTTTCTCACTTAAGAGTTCACACTGTTGGCCATGTGCAGATGAGCACACCACTGTTATGTCACTCGGGGAAAAAGAGACGAAACATGCTGGTAACCAAAGTGCTGTGTGTTTTTGCACAGATCCAGAGAGATATTTCTGAGATGAAGGAAAAGGCTAGCAACTCTAGAGGGGACACAAAGGCTGAGAGGGGAGAAAGAGAGGGTTGGACGGGGTGCGTCACGCTTGTCGCTCTGACTGACAGGGGGCCAAAGAGATTAGGTTGGAGGAGAACATGTGAAAGATGCCAGAATGTCCAGGAGCTGTGAACACCATGTGGGGAGAGAGAGGAGAAACTGATTCAGTGGAGGAAGACGCCAAACAAAAAGCAGATCCTAGTTTTAGTGGTTTCCAACCTTTATTGTTAGGGGCCCATTTCTATCATTAAGTAACTGAAGACCCTTAGTGATATATGTAATGGATATTATATATTTAATACACAATGCATAACAATAAGAGTACAGAGCAACTGATACACTCTACATGTAATCAAAATAGTGAACATAGCAACTGCAGGTCATTTGTGTAAAACAATAATTCTGGGTGGATTTGGAGCAGATTATTTCCTGTGACTATTACATGTGATGAGTTTTCCTGTTAATGTAAGGAACTTTAAGAGCACATCTGCCTGTATTGTGTTTTTTATAAATCATACATTGTTTTTAATTGCCTATTTTTTAAATACAAATTCTATGTTTTTTTTAAAGTTAAGTCTTCACCGTGCCCTTATCCCGTGACATTTAAAAACTATGATTCAAACCATAACAAATTATTTCATTTAGTGTTCACCACAGAAATGTATTAAAAAAAAAAGAAAATGTTGGGAACCAGTTTTAGAAGATAAAAAAAAAGGCAAATCTGTTTCTTTCTGGGAACCAACATCTATGGGGGGGGGTCACTGGCCAGCCATGGAAACTACTATAAGGCCAGATCAGTTCAACCCTGATAAGAGGAGGCAGGGTGGTCTGCTGAATACTGATAGGTCGGCAGGATGAGAGCCGAGAGCCACAGGGTGCGGTGGGTGGGGGCTGTCCCTTTCCTTTGACCCTGCCCTGGTTTCCTGGGATTCTGAGTTTCATCTGTACAACACACACACCCACACACACATCCCACCAACACAGACACACACAAAGACCGGTACCCTGCTCTTTTATGTGCCACTGATTTTCTCATTAGAAGCAGGTGGGGACCCATTCCCTGCCACCATAAGCTGTGCTAAGGAATACAGCTAGATGATAATGATGGTAGCTATTTTTAGACACAGCAGCTAGCACTTGGGTTCAGACTGAAGTATCATGGAACATTTTGGATGCGTTGCTGTAAAATTGGGATGAAAATTCAGGGTCTCAAGAGGTTGAATTGTAATGACTACTTATTTTTCCTCCAACAACAAAAACAGATCAAACTGTTCATGACAGGATACCTTTACATTTAAAAGCCATAATCTTGCCATGTGTCTTGTGCAGTATTCATAGGAATAATGGTATAATTAGCATTGGATATCAGCACCTATCAATAATCAAATTTGACAGATATGTATGTGTATGCTAGATGATATGCACTGTGTTCTTGCTTTGGATAATTTGCAGACAGAGTTGTTATTCATTGGTTTTATCTGACATTTGAACATTTTATTGTTTTTATTACTGTTATATATCCTTTCTTCTTGGCAGCCTGATTTATTGTTCTCATCATAATACTGTTTTTATTGCTGCATCTTCCCCAACATGTCTGCTGGTAGGATTTTAACTGGATTTTTCCATCACTTTGTTTTTTACTGTGGTTGTTATTATATATTGTATATCTTTCTAGTCGTATACATGGGAATTCAGTGCATCGCTGTACAAGAGCTTAATGCTCCCAGTCAATTTCCCCTGAATAAACATGGCAGCTCAGAATCTGCCTCAACAGGTGCCTCTAAGTGCCACTATACCTGCTCTTACTCTAATAGACATCAAATCTGTCAAATCATTAGTTGTTGCCCCTTGTTAAAAGCCTCATATATAACCCTGTGCACCATCCATCCTACATACTTTATAGTGTATGTCAGTCTGAAAATTGCTGTATAATCTTTATCCCATTAATTATTACACACATTGGTCTGCCCCTGACCTTGAGGTGGATCTTCTATGCTGCTCACTGAACCTTGAAGGTCTAAAAATCTCTGTTTGTCCTCAAGAGGCACAACTGAGCCTTCGTTATGCTTTCTATCAGCAAAAATACCTGCTTGGATCAAATTGTGGAAAACTGCAAATGGACTGTTCATCATTCTCGACGGGTGATTCAAGCACTTGTGGATGGACGTTTTAAAAACATGATCAGAAAACATCAGTAAAAATAGAAAACGTTCCATGTTGAAATGTGTATTTTAATTGCCCCTCATGGTGTGGATAGTGGCCTTGGAAACAGTTATTGGCAGCCGATGAGTGCATGTCATCCTGTTATACGATCAAAGGGGCTAAAACTCAGTTTTTTCCATGCAGAGGGAGCGAGCTGATTTTCACTTGTGTGAACACACGCAAGAAATATAAGGAATGTAGGTCAATAGTAACGGTATCTACAGTATGTGGTGCTCCTATAGAAGCAGGGAGTTATGTAATGTGATTATGATTCAGGTCAAGTGGTTGAAATAAGAGGATCTGTAGTGAGCCAGTGGAATACAGGAGAATTTGGCATCTCCCACAGTGAGTGTGTGTTTGGCGAGCTGACCATGAAATGAAACACAGGCACAGATATAAAGGGGAAAAAGACCAAAAGGGAAAAACAGGGTTGGTGAGAATCAAAGTGTGGCTTGTGTGAAAGATCAAGAGAGAAAAACCAGGAGAGACATGGACAGAGATAAAGGTCAGACAGATAGTTCAGGGCTTGTCTGTAACACTGACAGAGGTGAGTTAAAAGCCTGTCTCGCTGAATTTACACCAGATCAGCTGATGAGGTGATTACCTGCAGGGGTGTGCAGCAGTCTGGAGTTGTCACTAAATCGGCCATTTTGTGTTACTTTATATTGGGACCTTAGACCTCCCAGTGTAGCCCGAGTATACTTTATATCTGACAGTTATTGTTTTCCATCAAAGCGTTCTTATGATCTTGACATTTCCAAAAGCACTTAAAGGCATCTTCTTTCATTTTACAGCAGATAGACACAAATAGGCTGAGGGACTGTGCCTTTTGCTGGAGCTTTGTGCAGGAAACACATTATCAAATGCTACCCATGGCAGGGAGAGGAAGGGATGTTTACTGTACTTTCTCATCGACTCCCTGGTTACATGTTTTTTCCAGAATACCCCACACAAATGAATAGGAGGATGTGCCGGACCGCCTGATTTTATCTAAAGGCAGCCTGACATTTCTGTCCTCACGCACCATTACACAGCCAACACGGCTATCCAGGCTACTCACTTTCTTAAAAGACCGGTTTTGCTTTGTTATTTTGCATATGAGCACTTCAGGTATGCTTGATTGAGAGTGTACTTAAAGTTTATCACCATGCAAAGAGGAGAATGCTTTCAGGAAATAATGGACCATGAGAGCATCATTTTTTGTTTAATTAGGATTAGATCAGAACCTTACTAACACAAATACAGAAAATACTTGATCTGTTTGTCGTTTGTGCACCTTTAGTGTCAGGGTGTTTGTTAAACCCTAATTGTTGTGTTTTGGTCAATTAAACTGCCAACTTCCTTTTTGTCACAATGTCCTACACGCTTTCACTCTGTTGTAAGATGCATCTCCAAGCATGCACTTAACCAGTCATCATGCCCATTACTACAGTATAGAACTTGATTCAATATTAATAAAGAAAAACAGATTCTAACTATGTTGGTTTATAACTGAAAAAACAGTCGCAAAATAATTTGACATGGTGGTGAAAATAAAACGGTACATAAAAGGTCAAACATAGTTACCCAGAGTAAATCCCAAAAGTGAACCACAACAAGGACAGCTGGACACTTTGTGTTTGCTATACTTTCAAATCTACCCAATCAAAATGCAGATTAAAGGCTCTGTACACCAAAGCAGGTGTTTTCAATTACTCTCCCAGCTTGGAACAAGCTCTGTGTACTAACAAGTGCAACAACACTGATAGTGTCGATCTAGCCCAGTGTGTGTTAGCCATAATTGGGACTGTCAACCTGCGCAATAAATACATTGTGAAAGACTACGATATTGCACATTTTGTTAGAGAATATCATTAGAAAACATCCTTATTTTAGTATTGATGACTTTTTATGCATTTCAAAGTAAATGTTTGCTGATTTCTAATTCAACAAGCAAAGTGTCGGTTTTTATACTGAAAGCGGCAGAAAGGCAGATTTGAGTACATTTTGATATTTGTTTACATTTTTTGTAAAATAGTTTTGCCCTCAAATTGTTCATCCTTAGGTGGATAATTGGTGTGTAGAAGTTTTCACTAAAGAAATATTAACTAAAGAAATATGAACATAGTGTGGTCTTTGTCTGTGAATCCATTTTAGCTGTAGTATTTAAAAAAACAAAACAGTATTTGAATACAGCTAAGGATCATTTTCCACCACAGAAATGTTGACTTGCCATGGTCAAATAAGCTATTCACAATTTGAAGTTGTTTTTTGTTAAAACACAATGTTTTACCTGGCTTTTTCATTATGTTTTAAAGGTGTTAACATAAAACAGGGTTAGACTTGTATTAATCCTTTGAACTTTTCACTCTTTTTACAAGTTGAGGATAAGCTGCTACCAACACATCCATGCACCCTCTGGTGTCCCAGTCTGCTCCGGAGGATTTTCTGGGGATGTGACTCAGCACAGAGGGCGGCAGCATAATTAGCAGACATGCTAAAGCAAGCTTATCCCGACACTAGGCTTCTAACTCCATGACCTACTTTACAAAGAGGATTTTCCCCACCACTCACTCCGTCGGTGTGTCTGCTCACCACCGATAACTCAGTGTAACAAATGCACACACACAAATACACCAAACACCCACACGCGACAATAAGTCAGTCACGCACAGTCAGCTAAACACACACACAAATGCATGCTGTATATATATATATATATATATATATATATATATATATATATATGTATAAGTACACATAAGCACTTGACAGAGACAAGTTAAAATGGGGGAACTAAATGAACGCACGCTCAACCAGCTGATGGTATATATGATGCTTTTCATTCTGCCCATTGTGTCATATTGGCCTCTTGCGTGTGTGTGTGTGTGTGTGTGTGTGTGTGTGTGTGCACGAGTGTGTGTTTCATTACGTTATTCTTTATGCAAGTTTGAGCACTCAAATCTAACTCACTGGTCTCCCTGGAGAGTGAGAGAGTGCTTGGTGTGAGAGTAATTCCTGTCTTATCTCCTTATTCATGAAAAGCTCATCTTGTCTTGTGTTGTTTGTTCCTGCATTTTGCCCCTACTCCTTTCCCCCTCCTTGGCTTACTCCTGACAAACACCTCCCTCAGCTCCCCTCCACACTCCTCTTCCCGTCTTTCCCCCTCTCTTTCCCCCCTGTGCATTCATCCAACCATTCTTCTCTTGGAGAGGGGCAATCAACTGTGGAAGTTATTGACCAGCAAGCGCTTAATGAGGTTGATAAAACGAGGGACCAGAGACCTCTAACATTTTACAAGCACACCTCATTAAAGCTCGAAATCCAGAGATGGGGGAAAGAGACAGAGAGGAGACAGAGGGAGCAAAATATTTCTAAAACACACTAAAATTGGATTTTCATAGATGATTGGAGGAACCGAGAACTGGGATAAAGCCTAGGCAGGAGAAGTAAAGAGAAGGGAAAGTTCTGAGTAGGAGGAGAGGTGCTGAGGCAGTCAGGGAGCTCAATGCAGAACATTTCTTTAATCTACACATCAAATGAGAGCGGGAAAATGAGAGCGGCAGAATGTTTCAGCTGGTTCCTGAGCAGCTTCCAGTGTGTGTGTGTGTGTCTTTGCACCTGTGTCTGCCTGAACAAATGTGTGTGTAGGTGTGTGGGCATGTAATCAAAGGGCTTATTATAAATAACAAAGAGCTAGCAGTTGGAAGCAATGTAGCAGAGATTTACTCCAGCACAGCCTGGATTTGAGAAAAACCGACAGATAATTAAAACCAATAAAAATCCCATGTCCCCTCAGGCTTTTTTTTTTTTTTAAACCAACATTTCCTTATTTCTGTTTTGATATTTTGATCTCTGAGTGTGAATGATTGTCAGTTCAAACAATCTGTTCCACACATTGGAAGAGCAAAGTTAAAATGTTACAAGACAAAAGGAAGTCATTATGGAGAAAGTCCTTTTTTATTTTAGTTGACTCTACTCGCATGCTGAAATGGTATAGCCCTCCAGGGATTACTTAGGGGTGACTGGTGATTAAGTGGTACTGCCCAGAGCTGGGGGTGGTGATGCTAACCACTCACAGCCAGTGAATCTCTGGTATGTGACCACCAAAGAACTTCCATACCACTCGTCTACAGGAACACACACAGAAACCACATCACAAGTCCCCTAAATTACAAGAGTCTGCTGTTTAAGATACAATTAGTGCATGTACTGCTTTGTGCATTACGCTGTGTTCAAATTAAATTGGAGTTTGAGTGTCTTTTAAAAAGGGATTGACATGATTACAGTCCAGCTCAGAATACTTCATAATTAGTATTCTAACAATCACGTACAGTATGTGGGAATATTTCCCTGAGAAACTCCATTTAATCTTAACTAATCCTCACAGAGAGCATATACATTCAGCCATTTGGTTTCAAAGCACTGACGAAAATGTTCTAAAGGCAGATTCTCATGCATGTGGACATCGCTATGCGTGTTGGAGAGTTACTGCGGTGCTAATCAGATATTTATGACTGCAACTAACCCTTAGATCGAATGTTTTCTGCCCTCTGATTGGCTAACCTCCAGCAGGACCTCTGACCTGCTGCCTATGAGGTCACAGCAGTCATTTATCACAAGTGTCGATCTAAGGTTTCCCCTTCTCTTATGACTCATTTCACGACCCCCTGTCGTCTTTTCCCACACCCTTTACACCTTAAACAGGACAGGGAAAGAATGAGAGTCAACTCCTGCCCTTATGTGACTCCATGTTAAAGGTTTAACGCAGACCAACTTACGCTGACACCGACATGAAATACAGTACTGAAAACACTGAGCAACCTCAGAGGAAGGATGTCCATGTCGGATTAGCTGCATTAGAGACAGGCACAAGGAAGGAAGGTGTGTTTATGAACAAGAGAGTGGGGGAGGTGCAGTCCTGCGGTATAAAAACAAGCCACCCTGAAAGGCGACAGACAGCTGGAGCGACAAACAAGGGGGCACATGGAGAGAAGAAAGTGAGAAAAGTGAAAGCCAGAGTACATTAAAGGAGGTCTACAACAACAGCGAGGACCACACAGACCGAGGAGGAGGAGGAGGAGGAGAGAAGAGGCGACGAGAGGATACGTTGAAAGAGAAAGGAAAGAATGGGCTGAAGGAGGTGTGGAGAGGGAACACATGGCTGCTTCGTTCTGGGGAAAGGGGGGAGAGAGAGAGGGTACAGCTGGCTGGGGGAGGAGAGGAGGGAGACAGGCGAGAGCTGAAGAGGTGGTAGTCTGGGGTGGGATAGGAAGTGAGGGAGATGAAGAAAGATGTAGCCCTGTTCTCCCCAATGAGGGTGTTTTCATCTCATCAGTGTAAGCAGAACTGAATGTGATTCTTATTGCAAGTCGCTTTGGATAAAGGCTTCAGCTGAAATGAAATGTAATGACCTGCAACGATTCATTAATTGTTGCAATGATCTGTTTCAAGAATGTATGTGTGTGTGTGTGTGTGTGTGGTAAAGCAACTCACAGCTGTCCTCCTCCTCGGTGATGGCGCTGACAACATAACAGGCGTACACGAAGCCCAGGAGCTGTGAACACACAAGCAAACAAAGAGAGGTTAGACTCTGCAGAGCTGACAGTGTGCAGTTGATAAACAGCTGTGTGTTTGCTTTGATAGACAACAAGATGATACAGAACATCTGAATAAAAGGGTTGTGTGGGGATGAAGCCTCAATTTTGAGAGATGGTGGCTTGGTGTTTGTTAGGGTTTCCTCAAGGGTAACCATCAAGCAAACAATTTACAGGACCCAGCAACAACATCAAATTCATATCTTTTGGTTAGTGAAATGAGCAACATGTTCAAATCACATTCAGGGAATCTGGTATGACAAATGTTCATTATTTTCAGACTAAATAAACATTTAAAATAATCAGATTAATTAAACAAGAAATTGATTGTAAATCACAGGCTTAAAGCAGCTATAATCACAACTTGTATACAATGGATCAAATAACTATGACTAAAATGAAAGTGGTTGTTCATAGTGAGGGACTTATAGAGAATTATCACGCCACTCTACGGTTTTCTTCAACTCTTCAGAGTTTTATCGCATCTTTCAGCTCATTGTTTTGGTTTTACGCCCCGCACCGCCACCGTTTTGGTTCAGTCACATTGCTCTTATCAACATTATTTTTTTTCTCCACAGCAGGCAGCAAAAAAACAGTTGGAAAACCCACCCTATGCTATCTGCTAAGCACAACACAACAGCCGCACAAAGTCAGGGACTAGCTAGTGTACATAGTAAAGCATTTAGCTGCTGAAGAACCATACATTTCCTTCAGGAGTTGGTTTAAGATAAAAAAACAGAGCCGAAAGCAGCCACAGTCACACAACGGTTTGCTGAAACTCTCCAGAACATCTTAAAAGGCTATCCTTTTTCAGTGTTTTTTTCACATCTCTACAGTGCTTTAGTGTAATAGCAGTGTTGGCTTATGAAAACAGGGCTTCTCGAGTGTACATACAGTAGTTATGCACAAACACTACAGAAAGCTGAGCGGGTGCTTATGACTGTATGTTGATGCTCGTGCGAGGAAGCAGAGCTGAGAATAGCCTGTGGAACTAGCAGATGGCTGTCTCAGAAACCATCACAGTGAGAGATAGACACTGAGAGACAGTCTCTCTCCTCCCAGCCACCCAGCCATCCATCCATCACTTGGCACTCTGCCATGCCAATTAAAACAGCATCGGGCACACTGCCCTCCTCGCACACTGGGTACACAAACACAAAACCCAAGAGGGGACTGACCGTCTGTGACGGTGGTTATTTATATAACATTCATTCAAGCTATATCTTAACTATATGAAGTGCAGTTTGCAGGACTTTCATTTCATCTCATTTGGGTTTTATTCCCGTTATTCATGAGTTTAATATAAGGGCTTGATTGAAGTTCATCCAGATGTAGATTAAATGTTTTATTTATGAATGAAACGCAGGTGTGGTGTCTAGTAGAAAAAGGGAGTGGGTCTGCCTCTGTGTGGGTTGGATAAGATGCACACAACTGTTCTCTCTGCTTATCTCTCACTCAGTTTTCCCTCTCTAGTATGTAATTGCTGGTCTCACCCCTACCATTACAGTGGCGGTGAAATGGAGGTGAATTTGCATATGTATAAAATCAGTGTCAAACACAAAATGGTGTTAACAGCAGGGTGCACTCAGTTTTCAGCGTTATTGTGTCTGTGTGTGTTTTTCCTTTAAAAGTGTGAGCCAAGCGTGTGGGAGTTAATATCTATGCATGATTGCTGTGCCGTTTAGTTTCCATAAAAGGCTCTGATCAGTGTTGTGGTCTGGGATTGAGTCAAAGCCAATATGTCACAACAGAGGAGGCTTGAGACTGAGAAAAGTAAGGAATTGTTGTAAAGCATATAAACAGATGTCTGACAAATGAATAGAAAACCCAATATAAAGTGTTTCAGTAAGGTGTTGGGCCATAATGAGCCGCCAGAACAGCTTCAGTGTGGCATGTCATAAATGCTCTAAAGCTCCTTTCACATAAGCACTGCAACCTTGAAATTATCATTTAAATGACATTATTGAATAAATGAAACATTAACTACACTACCGTAGGAGCTGCATGAGAGAATGAATATGTCTTTTAAACAGGATATCAACTGGTCTTTACCCTGCCAGTTTCATAGCACAAAGTCTGCATAATGTCAGACTGAGCACCTAGGTGAGCGAGTGGCTGACGTTTTCATCGCGACTGGCGTGGAACTGGTAGAAAATAAACATCCAAGGGTAAAGATGAAAGGAAGACACACAACAATGTCTAACTACGACAACTACGAGATTTGGGAACATCTGTCCATTAGGATTGACATTGAAATCATCAAACTACTTTATTAAATGTCAGGAGACTTGGTCGTTTAATACCAATTATGAACCGGCTATGTGACTGTCTTGTGATCTCCGTCATGTCATGCCTGCAGCGTCATCCTTCGTCTAAACCAAAGACGGATTTAAGGTTATTGAGAATGATTCTGACATTGACAATCTTGAGTTGTGTGCTACACGTTTGAAAAGGAAACGTTGGACAATTTTGGCTTTAGTAGGTGAATACTTGATACACAGATATATTTTAATTTAGGGGTTGTGGTGGAGAACACTATTAGGCCAAGTTACGAACAGTAAAAGAAGCCCTGTGGAAAAACACAGCCCCCTCATTTATTTCAATGAGAGCACTTTGTTTGACGCAGCGGGAGTGCAGATGCAGAGCAGTCCAAGGGAAAAATGCAGGATCGTCCAAAAAAAAAAGAAAAACCTTAGCCTGACTGCACCCTCATAAATAGCAGTTAAGGAGAGACAGATGCAACACAGCAGATATTCTATGACATTGTATACTTTTAATTAGTGAATGCCAAACCTTATCGCTGCTCAGTTAGGGGAAATTACCACCATTTGTCACTCCTTGTGAGTCCATCTCCATGGGCTGATCCTAAACCATTCTGGCTTCTAGTTTTTCCTTTTCTATAGCTTTAGTACATTTTATGTGAAGCTAGCAAGATCAGAAGTGAACACTTGGTGGCTTTTTGCTGGAGGCATTGCAGTCCTTAGCCAATATAGGTCAGTGTCCTCAATAACAAGTGACACTTCCACTTATATATCCTTGCATATTAAATAATCACACTCATAAATCCTCCCCACGCCCCCTCCCTACACACACACAGTCCCCGGCTTCCTTCTTTGACTTCCCACCGTCACTTCTGGAGTTCAGGGATCATTATGTAGATTGATGTCAAATTAATTAAGCTCATAAAGCCCTCACATGTCCTCTGAGGCTTTATGTCAGTCTGCCTATGAGGACGTGCCATACTTAAGTCAACTCATTTAGCTGCCAATCATTTTTTCTTTTGCACTCTGCACTTTCTTGTTTAAGTTAGTACATTTTTAAACACAGGTCTCCACATCACTGTCACTCCACTATCTTCAAATCCTACTATCTTATCCTTTCTCTTTATCTATCTATGTGTCCTTGTTTTATTGTTTCAGTAAGTGTGGCCTTTCTGTCTGTCACCTCTGAAAGTTTTGACTAGTTAACAATTATCTGGACAGCTAACAGAAGGAAGCAAGACAGCAGAAAACCGGTCACCGAAAGTTCAGCTCAAGATGTGGGAATACATCAAAAGCAAAGCTGTCCTCCGGTGGGCCTTAATTTAGTATTTTCTTTGTTGCATAGGAAATAATAGACAAGTTGTTGATAGTTCAGCACTATCTTTGGTTCTTCTCACAGATAATGAGGGCCACACGAAGTTCAAGGAAGGAAAAACGTCAGGAGAAGAAGGCCAGCTTCTGAGCTAAAAAGGAAGGTTACTTGTATTTGCATAAGCTAATGAAGGTCAGGTGTATTCTGAATGTGCGAGTACAGAAAGATACATCGCCAACTTTGACACTTTACTCATAAACATCAGTCTACTAGACATTTATTTAATGATTAGAAGCGTGCATTCACCCCAGTACAACAACAACGAATCAGGGTTACAGTCAATTATTTGGATATCTATGTTGAGCCATTTCAACAAAGAAAATCACAGCTGTACTTTGAGCTACATGCTAATGTATTAATGCTAACATGCTTCTCATTACAATGCTTACATGCTTATATTAAGCTTGTATCATTTTTTGAGAATTTCTATATCAGGAAATGCGTGCCAATTCATTTGGTAGATGTTGAGGTGTTTCTTGCTTGTGGCACTGAAAAAGTGTTTTGGGATTTAAAAAGTCAGTAGGATTCCCATGTTTATTCTTAAGACAATTACATGGCAATACATTTCACACTTATAGATAACTGTGTGTACCTGAGTGGTGGACCAAACAAGCCAAAATAGCTACAAATGCCCAACACTTGCTGAATGGGATTTATTGTTCTCGGTTTTATGTTAAAGTTAATTACATTTATATATATATCTCATATAGGTGAGAGGAGAAGCAGAAAGAGAGATGGAGAAAGGGGTGGTGCAGATGTCTTGTAGGTTAATTAGACAAGACTTTCTGTCTGGGAAAAAGGCACAGGCTTTGCTGCAGAAAATTAGATGTGTGTGTGTGTGTGGGCAGCTGCATGTTTAATGACAAAACAAGATGAGATAGGGACAGCAGGGATCATATCCACCTGTTCTTTTCCACACACACCTATACTGCATACAAGACCACATGGGGTTGTTGAGAGCACTGATTTGCATCTTGCACATAAAATAATTGCAATAAAAGCAAGCTGATGTAAAAAAACACGACACATAGACACAAGAGTTTGCCCTTGCAGAAATGAAAGCTATAGCAACAAAGAAAAGACTGCCTGTTTATCACATTCAGCCCCATATAGTAGACCGGACTCAGTGATGGGGAGAATTATGAGGCTCTCTGGACCAATAAAGGAATGGACATACTGCGACACAGGCAGTCAAATAAAACAACAGATACACACTCAACAAGCAAAAAGAAAACAAAACATGCCGCTAGGGAAGGTTTACTTCTTTAATGTTGTTTATTTTTAACTAACAAGTTCTCCTCTTTTCCCTGTTCTATTTCTTGCCAACTCTCAGAAGTTTAAGAAGACTAAATATTAAAAAATTAATCTGAAGAAAGTCCATTGCCCCGCAAAACAGATTAACAATTAAAGCTCTTGGCGGAGACAGCCTTTGAAGTATAATGGCGGGCAGTCATGTTTTTACGATGTACAGCGAGTAGCCCTTCACAATATTCAGAGGCACCGCTGGATACTAATTCTCTCTCCTCTGGTCTTCAGGTCTTTCTCTTCTCCTCCCCATTTTAGCAGCAGCCAGCAGACCTAAAACTGCTCTGTATCACTGCATCAACCATCTTTTTATCCTGGGATCTTTATAATCCTTTGAAGCAGTAAAACTTATATAGCAGCACCAATTCAGGCATTCAGTGTCAGCGCTGACATATTGCAGAGGTGCTTAATGCCATTATTACACTTGACAATGCATGGTCATTTCGGGTCTGGCCAAATTACGGCACTTCAAATTGAAGCACATCAAAGATCCCTCCAGTTGGCTCCCCATGCAGCATGTGCACACTCTAACAACCCATATTCCCCACAGTGGTGGTGGTTGTTTAACATTAGAGTTTCAAAAACATAACATGCACTAATGGACTTATCAAACAGAGCACCCTGACCTTTTGGATGAGTGCGGGGGTGAGCGGGGTGTGCCCATGCTGTTTTCATGCTGCTGAACTGAGTGAACCTGAACAACCACAAAACACACACCGACCCTTTAGGCAAAGCACAGCCTCGAGCGCTGATCACAGGGGCCTGCCCATGCCGAGCCTGCTGAGGGGACCTTTCTAATCAACCATGGGCCCTTATCCGTCCCCCACCATGGCGTTACACAAGCGGCACTTGAGACATGAGAGAGTCATCTTATTAGATCCAAAAAAGAACATGAGAGAAGGAGCAAAAGTGACAGTCAGTGAGAAATGCAGCAAGAGGTAAAAGTGCATTGTCATTGTTGTCATTGTTTGAGAGTTTGATTGACATGAAGGTCAAACAGAGTGAGATCTGGACAGGAAAGAAGACAGGAAGAAAAATAGAGGAAAAACGAGCAAATGAGCAATAGAGCGAGAGAATGACGCAGTTCCTGCCATTATCAACTTCCACACAATCATACCAATTCAGGTTCTTAGGGAATACAGGTACCAGATAAAAGGAATTGCCTGTGGCAGCAATAACCTACACAAAATAATCAGATATCAATGTGTGTGTGTGTGTATGTGTATGTGTATGTGTATGTGTATGTGTATGTGTGTGTGTGTGTGTGTGTGTGTGTGTGTGTGTGTTTTATTAGAGGCTCAGCAGCTCTGACAGCCCCATGACATCTCTCACTACTCCCTTTTGTGTGTAAGAGTTAAGTCTACAGATGTAAACTGAATTTCACATCTTCCCATCTTCCCATCTACCCTCCACCTCAACGGAGATGTTATCACAGACTTGACTGTTTTAGTTAACAGCGAAGACGGTCCACAGGAGCAAAAAAGAGGACAGGATAATGGGAGGCTAGAAAGAGATGTGTGTGGCTCTTCTGCTGATTTCACTGACAGGGAAATCAGCCTTTATCATGGCAGTAAAAGAAAACCCATAACACAAATATTTACTGTAGGATGGGTGGGCGAGTTGGGTTTCAGTGAAGGCAACAAAGAAGAGCAGAGATGGTGCAAAAATATTCCCCTCAGTGATGAATTGATGAATAATACATTATCCCAGTTTGAAAGGGTTTCCTCCACTTGAAGCTCATCTTTTAAGCCTTTAAGTTACTTTTTGACTCTACTGAATGTAGCCTTTAGCGGCATTAGCAACACTGGCGGACTTTACCAAAGCTTCACTTCTGAACGATTTCCTTTTTGCTCATGATGAATCAGAGCAGATATTTGACAGTGATGGCTCTATTACAGGCCAATGGATCCACATTTTTCATCCTAATGAAGCATGCTCCTTGGAGCAAAAACTAAATATTTAATGGCCTCCCACTGCAACCTTGAAACCCCCCTGACAAAGACAAAGGGACATCCCACTTTTTCGCCTGATTTGTTTCATTCACTCTCTCAACTTCCTCTTTGTGTCTGGCCCTCTGTTTTAACTTCACACACCAGATGGTTTATTACACAGAACCATCTGAGAAGCTGTCATTGGAAACTCTAAGGAAAAGGGCAGGCTCTTGCAAAAAAATACTTGGCAGGTGATTTGATGAACCATCTGTCAATCACATCCTTGGCGTAGCCAGTCAGGAGAGACGCAGACCATCTTGTGCGTGAGGACAAGCCTTCGGTGCCCTTCTCTGCTCTTCTTTCAATAAAGAAAATAATAATTGAACTGATGCTACAGCGACATCGTCTCACAAGTTGCATCACGCACACCTTAACTACAACCTTAGCTGCCAGTGGCTCCTCACAGGACACCCATTGGTTCAAACAGCTGGTGGTTCGGACACAAACAAATAACTTGAAGCCAGTTTTTTTTTTTTTATCTTAGTATATCTTGTGATATTGCGATTATTCATCTGCCATGCAAGGTAATTCTATTACCTTACCCTCCATGGGGGTGATGGGATGAATGTTACAATCTGGCGATTCTCAACACTGGGTCCCTCTGCTAGTCTTTTTTCTATTCTAGCAACTTAACTGGTTTCAATGTGCTTTCTCATAAGATTAAATGGTGAAAACCAACAGGACTCTGAAACCCACTGAAGGTTGATGAAGCTGCTATGTTAGCTTGGATGTGTTTATGTGCATTGCAATGGAGTCAAAGTTTGGTAAGTCAATGCTACTGTGTGCAAATATTTGTATTGTTCATGTCTGAACCCAACTACCCGCTGTGCTGGCAGCTAAGAAGGTCCTGGCCCTCGCTCAATATGAAGTTTAGTTAGTCATACATGAGTGTGTGTTAATGTGTATGCTGGCAGGATGTGTGTTTCTGGTGTATTCATCCAGTGCTGTACGGAGAGGACAATAACAGTCCTTCCAGTGTTTGAATAACCTGTTAGCAGCTGGCAGGTCTGAACCTCAGCCAGACAAAACAACAGATCAATTTTTCATTTAGTGACCGGGGCAAAGGAAGGGAGGCTGTGATAGACAAAATAACAGACCGCTGTGGAAGTTTACTGAAGAAAGCGCTTGAGGCGAAAACCAAAACATCACCTTTCTTCCTATCATGTTCACCTTTCTGAATCCCACAGAGGGTGAGGACTCTGCTGGTCTAAAATGTGGAATATTATCACTGCCTGTGAGATGACATGTCCCTGCATGTAAATGCGTCAGTGCTAGAGTCACATAACCAACTTGTACTCACGGCAATGAGAATCTGTGCGCCGCTATGCATGACCTCGATGTACTGGTAGTCCATGAGGCAGCCCATGACAGTGATGTAGGAGTGGCTCTCCGTGGTGTGGACCCCTGGAGCCTGAGGCATCTCTCTCCTCACACAACCCGGCCCGTGCTCGCTCCACCAAGAGTGATGTGCTGAGATGTTGAATGTCAGCAGGTCACTGTCCTGAAAGCAGAAAAAACAATACTTTCTTTGCATGGAGTTTATGCATAACTTATGATGTACATGTATTCTTTATGAGAAAAACAAGGCTGAATCACAGGTCATGTTGTACGAAAGGCAGGGGTCTTATCTCAGGAAACTTGCAATGGTGTTAGTATTCCGTCTCTGCGACACAGCTAGATGCTAAGGTCAGCAGGTCAGCATGCTAAAACGCTCAACAAGGCCACGTTGAAATACTGATGCTAAGCAGTTGTAAAGTTTCCTAAGCCTGATATAAATGTCCATTCAATACTAACTAACATTTCACTAGAAATGAAATATAGACCCCAGGGAAGCACTAGAAGAAAGGTCAGGAAATCAAAGTCATTAAGAATCATACTTTTGGGATCGTGAATTTCAAAAATGTCATGGCAATACATCCAATTGATTTCAGTCTTGATATAAGTGGTGAACTTATCAATTTGGACCTTCCTACAGACATGTTTCTAGCATGGCTCAAAACATGTTGAGCCACGTTGAGCGCTGGTTTTGATTTTATTTCTCCCGTTTTTGAAGGAATTATCTGAAAGACTTCTGCTGTGGCCCCATATAATTAAGGTTTATGGATATTAGTTTTTTGTGCTCAAAACTTGAAAATGTAATTCAAACCTGCTGTGTCTTTCCAAGAACAATGCACTTGTTTTCTTAATGCAAATCCACAGAAACAGTTTTCTTTTTGAACTACTTACTAACATTTTGACACTGTGTTTTGTGGTTCATCCAGAGTAACAGGGACAGGACATAAATGTTTCTGTTGAGTATTTTTTAAATGGGATTCTTTTTTTAAAAGTGCTTTGACCACTACAGCTAAAACTTAATTCACCTCCACCGTATTGGGGTGAAGAATTAACTCTCAGAACCAGGGCAAATGAAACTAAAAATATCTGTAGGGCTAGACAGCATTAGAGGTATGTCATAATATAATGTAATATATGTCCTTTTTATATAATTTGGGTGACTGCCCTTTTAATAGTCTAAGTGAAGATTGACAGCACATATGACCTGCCTGAAGCCCACGGGACACAGAGTACGAGGACAAAAACCTTTGTTAGACTAAGCCAACAGACTTTTTAGAGTTAACTTTTATAACTTCTGAAAGTGCACTAAATGATTACTACAGCTTTTAAATCTAGCATTTGATTAATGTGCTCTTGTACACCCAGGTGATGTTTAATCTGCACAGAGCCATATGAGCCCACGCATACAGACGTACGGACGCTCACACCAATCAATACCTCAATACAGCAATCTAACCCCGCATCTGCCCCTCGGTGACGAGACATGCATTATTAACAGAGCCGAGCGCTGTCAGGAAACATCTCTGATTCCTATCAACCCCCACTCACATTAACATGTAAACCTCGACAACACAAACTTATCGCTGGAATCAACAGCCGTCAACAACAGACGTCTGCAGACAGTGGGAAAGAACAGGAGTCATGAACGATATTAAAAAGAAGCCATTGTATATTATTCCTGCTTTTTTTCAGATTATTCCTCGTTCCCGTTTCCGTCTCACAGAGTAGCAAAAGCAAGGGCGGCTGAAGGTCAGAAGGTAGAATTGTGAAGACTAATGACTTGACAGATGCCATTGATTGAGCCTGCGAGCTAGGGAAACCATCTCTATCCAAGCTGTAGCCGCGCTCACAACTGCAGGACATTAAAGTCAATATTGAAGCTTTTGGCAACTTACTGTCAGAAGTGGTATTGTTATGCTCCCATGCACCCTAAAGCACAAATCAATCCCTCATCATCACAGATTCAAGGTTAGTCTGCTTATACGGCTCCAACTATTTTCTTTATTAAAGTCAAGATATATTTAGAGACAATCCTATTATTGGAATCGTTAGAGATATGGGGCAGTCTATAAAGTTAAAGATCAAGTGATTTTAAACTCTATTTATTCATGATTTATTATTTCTGAAATACAGAGAAGAGAGTTTATGTTTGTGTGATCACATTAGGGGGCAAACCTGAGGGCTAACTGGGGTTGTAGACTCTTCAGGCTCTGATGAGGGTCTCATATAGACTTTACATAAAGGTGTGCATGCCATGTACAGTCGCTGCAAATTGATGAATTCACCCAATCAAAAGAGATTGTGTTGAGGGGGGTCTGCATGACTCAAATACAGTCAGCAGTTACTTTGTGTGTATGCTGGGAGAAAGAGATAGGCAAGAAGACCACTGAGGCGGACAAATCTGAAACTAACAATTGTTAATTGTATTGTTTTCAGGTTGAAATTACAACTGATATATGAAAACAAGGCAGTACCGATCAAACTGAACACCGAGCCGCCTCTCAAATTCTTACTTTATGCTCATGAAGTTAATCAACAAAATGGATATAAATAAATGTTATCGAATGTGTAATCAGCTTTATTGGCAATCTATATGAGCGATTACAGCGATAGAAGCACTGTTGGACCGTGTGATTAATTCACACGAGAGGAGAGATTCACTCACCCAACAACAATACAAAAACAGCTTTAACAACATTACAGCTATCTGTAGATCCATCAAATAGTTGTTGGGATTATTTCAATCAAGACCAAAGAGGTGCATCGGCAACTTCCATAGAACTCAGCCTCTAGCTTGGCTTCAAATCTGAATATATAAAAATACCAGACAGATAATATGTTTGCTATATAAGCAAGTGACTCTTTGTTTTGTCAATGGTTATATGCTGATATCAGAAGAGAGAAATGTTTCTATTAAATATTTGTAAGAATTGCTTATCATTAGATGTTCTGTAAAACAAAGCTCAATGTGACAGAATCTGTTTCTACTTCAGACAGCTCAGTGCTGACATCCAAAGACTCTGTGTCTGCGGTCAGTGTGTGCAGAGTGTGAGATGTAATGAATAAAAAGAGAAGTGGTAAAGGACTGGGGACTGTTTAAAACAGAGGTGTGTGTAGAGTAGCAGGGGTCTGTCTGTCAGTCTGTCTTGCACCGTGGGGGAGGGGATGAAGGATCAATAGGAGGTGACAGAGCATGTGGCATATGACTCCAACAACCTACCCCCTCACATAGAGGGCCTGGTCACCCTTACACTCTCTTCACAAATACATGCAAACACATACATGCAAACACATACATGCAAACACACCCTTCAGAACAGTCCTGTCAACATCTGTCAAGGCTAGCTGAACAGAATTCGCTGACTCGGTTTTATGATAAACTATGTTGGGGACCTCTCAGAAAGCTACGTGCCAAGTTTGTTCGTGCATGTTTAGCTGGGGTGTGTGTGGGTGTGTGTGCGATCCATTAGCCAGCTCTCCTCCTGGCCACCATATGCAGAGCTGGGAGCCCAGGCTGGCTCCATCTGTCGGGTTAATGCCCAGCCGCAGCCCCAAGCAGCTGGCCCCTACAAGCCTCATTATTCTAGCATGCAGGAGCACACACACAACAAACACACACATGTAGTGGACACACAGACATATGCAGAGAGACACAGACACACTTGATGGTCTATCACACAATGACAAAGTCACCAGAGCTTGGGAAGGTGTGTCTGAAATTCATTTTCTGAACGTTGTCTACATGAATTCATTATTCCCAATGGTCAGGCAGGCATTTGGGCCAGATATCCATCAATAGCCAGTGAAGAAGAAGAGGGTGGGGGGAGTGGAGAGGAGAGGAGGAGAGTATGCTACAATTAAAAAGGCAAGGTAGAAAACTTGCGAAATGTGCGGAATATATTTAAAAAGATCAAAGGAGCAGTGAGCAGAGGGGAAAAGGGAGAAGACAAGATGTCAGGAGGAAGAGGGTGGATACGTTTACAGGTTGAGAGGTGACCACCCAAACACTTCTCTTTGTCTGGATAAATATGCATCTAATCTGCACTCGGGAACCACAGGGGAGCTCTAAAGATTTAAGAGAGTGTATGTGTGTGCGTGGTGGCTTGGGACGGAGGATTTTTTTCCAGATTATTTACCTATTAAGCTTTAAGCTTCCACTTGAAACTCAACAGGGAGGTAACCGTCCTGCTGTCAGCAGAGATGCAGCACACAAACATGAAAGAAAGAGAGACGTTCTTCGGGGCCAAATGAGGCTCTGCTGAGCCGTTGTTTGTGTCTTCGGCACAGATTCCTAAAGCTCAGGAAGTGATTTATAGTTCAGTGTAGGATGTGTACTAGATGGCTGTGTAACGCAGTCATTATGTACCACAAGTAATCATGTTTACTTGGGCTGCATTTGCTATTTTCATGCGGGCGTTCAGGCTTGACATGGGCAAAAAGCACCTGCAGCATATCTAATCATAGCTGAAATGTATGTTCAGAGCTGATAAACCTCAAGAATGTTTCAATTACGCTATTCTATTTCACAACAACAATTCAGAGAAGATATGTCTGGTGTAATAAAAAAACATTGGCACAGGGTCAGAATAAAGCTGAATAATTTATAGGGAAAAGAATCTCTGATATGAGGCTTTTTTTAAGCAAAAACAAAAAAGGAATTATGTTTTTGTTTTTTTGACAACCATCAATGCCTCTTTTGATGCCTTTCTTGTCGTCTCATAGTCAGATTAACTCATGATAAACTAAATATACTACATATAAACCTGTAAAAGTTAACTTAACAGTTCGATGTTGTAACTATAATCAGTATTTTTCCAAGGGTACTGACATGTTAATTTATCTCAATCAATGGTGTCAAAAACTGTCCTGATCTAGACTAATATGCTGGCTGATTTAAGTGATGTGATGTGCTATATAGAAGTGCGACATCGGCTATGAAGAAAATTCTCATTACGTCCAAAAAAAAACATACAGTGTATGTGGCGCAACTCTCGAACACTGTAATATAAATCAGGCTTCACTCCGCCACCAGCCTGAAACCGTGACCTCAGAAAGCAGAACATTCATCACAGTACAGACAAAGCCACCCCACTTGGCTAAGAGAGGCACAACGAAAGATTCGGAGGAAACAGCAGAAGGAAATGTCTCACCTTGGACAGGCCGCCTACGTCCAGGTAGAAGCAGATGATGAAGACGTTCCAGGCCACCCACAGAGCGGCCCATACTGTGTACTGCAGGGCAGAGACACAGACAGATTAGCTCCATAGAAACTACATGAACTGAACAAAGCAGGATGTGAAGGATGATAACACAAATGGCAGGTAACCCCTTAAGCAAGACAAGTCAGTGGACAGCATCCTATCCCACACACACATATTCTCGAATGGGTTAATACCCATACTTTGTAAACACCGCACACACAAATACATTTGTTTCTATAAAAAGGGGCTAGTGAGTTCAGCCAGTTTATTTGAGCCCTGAGGGAGCATCCCGTATTTTTACTGCTCAGACTGAATTAGGGTTACGACTTTATAAAATGGTACAGTCAGACAGCCAACTGATGACAGACATGGATTGCATTCACTGAAACTGTGTAAAAGACTCATCATTGTGAAGGTTGTGAAATCCTCTGACTCACGATGAATCCCTATGTTTAAAATGTCAGAGGTGTCAGAGGAAGAGCGGAGGGCAAGAGTAGCTTTTCGTAAAAACATACATGTTGGATCATGAAACCCCTTAGCTTGCTCTCTCCCTTTTTCCACTTGACATGGAACAATAGCTCTGCTGTCGCTCCTTCCTGTCCTCCCTTCCTCTGTTTCTTCATCTTTTTCCTGTGTGGCTCTCGCTTATCCTTCTATATCTCCCCTGTCTCTCTTTAGTTACTCTATTTTCCTTGTATCTCTTTTTCCCTTCCCCAATCCTTTCATTACTATCACCATCTGTGCCTACACTTACGCAACTCAAAATAGGCTTTTAAAGCGTACGGTACGGTTTAATATAAAAAGTAAAGTGCATAAAATAACATTAATGTCGCGTAGATGTGGCTCTTTACACCAAAGGCAGTACAACTAAAAGGCAGCACATGCTTGGCACCGTGTTTCAAAGAATGACCTTCTCTGTCCAGAAATTCGACGGAGTATAAATCTGATGAGCTTCTTATCCCCCCCCCCCCCAAACACAGCCACCCCCTTTAATTATCCCTAATTATCGCGGGCTTAGAGTGATTTAAGGGTGTCACACAATCCACAAGAGAGTGCTGCACACTTTGCAATTAAAGAGGAAAGGCAACAACATGTCCAATCAAATTCAAAGGCAGAGGACTAAGGCAAAGTGAAGTGACACTGCTTAACAAAAACCCTGAGGAACAGGATTATGTGACAGACTGTACAGAGTTTCACAAGAACCCCTTCTCTTCATTCACGTACTCACCACCACAATGTAGCGCGGCCGGTACTGGATGGTTCCAAAGAGGCCGAGGATGACCATGATGATGTGGAGGAAGTTGGCGAGGATTGGGGCCCATTGGTAACCCAGGAAGTCAAAGACCTGCCTTTCTAAACCCAAGACCTAAAGGGGGAGAAAAAGAGAGAGATCAAATGTTAATCAGGTTGGTATATCCTAGAAGCAAAGTGACTCTCCAGCTGCGACTGTGAACTTCTGGGGTTGCAAAAGATACGCAATCCAAGAAAAATGGCAGCCTACATACACACACTGGCAACTTGATGATGTATATATCGAGCCACCTTACAGCAATTGGTACAAAATCCTACATACAGCAAGCTGAAAGGAAAAGCTTGAGAGTTTTCGGCCCCCAACTGCGGCAGCGCCAGAGGTGAACACTGTACGTTTTGTAAAATAAACAATGACGGATTTATCGATTCAACCCCTGCTGAGCTAAAGAGCCTCTCACTATTTCCACCCTTCCTGCCAATGGCCTCCAGGAATGAGAATGCTCTGGGAACTTTATGGGAGGTGAAGGCCTTCCTTAATAATACCACTGCAGTGAGTTTAGACGCTTCATGAAATATGTGCATGCAAACAACGTGTTTACACTCACATGCATTAGCAGAGTTAAACCCTCTATAATGAAAAGAGAAATACCTCAGTATTCCCAATTCAGGTTCACTCTTATCCCCACCTACATCAACAAAGGTTACAGGCTAATTCTTTTACATTGATTAATTAATGTAGGTGCCTTTTTTTATATTACCCTTCCCTCTACCTGAGCCCTGTGTGTGCAGCATTTCATGACACAAAACAAAGCAATTTGAAGCTTTAAGACTGTGAGTCCCTATTTGCATCAACTCAATTAGCATGCTATTTGGGGGTAAAAACAGGGGAGAGGGGGGGTGAACCATTTAATTAGAATTCTATCACCAAACCAATTCCATTCCCAGTGTGTGTATTTTTGTGTGTGTGTGTTTCTCGAGCAACGATGTGTTTCGTTGTGTGTCGACATGTCATTTCCAGCCAAGCGCGTGAAGATGGATGAGGGAGGGATGAATCTCGTCTCTCCCGCACTGATAGGAACACACCATCGAGCACATTCACACAAACACACACACACACAAGCGCGATGCACAAGCGTGGCTCCTCTTCCTAATGTAATGGAAATGTTACCAGCAACCCAATGAGACGTTGTGACAGCCAGGGGAGGGAGATGATCAAATACTGAATGATAATTAAAAATGAACACTCTTTCTCACAGGGGGCGAGGGTGATAACTCCACAGACAGGGTGTGAAGCGACAGAGGTCGTGGTGAGTGAACTGCAACCTGCACCAAGCAATATCATACCAAAGTCAAGGAAGGGCTCAGCAATTCAAAGATAAAGGATTCACTCTAATGGAAGGAGGAGAAAAAAAGAAACAAAAACAGCCAGGAAACAAAATTGAGATGGATGTGGAGAATATGATATACAAAGATGGTAAACAGATAAATGGAGAGATGCTAGAAAATGCAGAGAAAACCACAGAGGACATTTTCTAAACGTAGAACAACTGAGCTCCCTCCCACTTAATAACCTCTGTTTATTCCTTGGATAGAGGGCAGAGGGAAATGAACTAAGTCAAAAAAGTCAAACATCATGTGGTCAGCTGTAGGAGGAGATTAGCAAAGATGAGGGGAAGTTACATTTGTTGGTCTTTGGGAATTGACAACCTTTGAGAGGTTAATAAACAGCTTTGGCTTTAAGACGCATGGCTGGGCAAACAGGGATAGTTCTATAACTGACAAAGGAAGCCCCAATGTGCCATTATGTTGAACCATAACTGTTTTTAGAATGATCAAATAGCTTAGGATGCCCATCTCCCCTAAAACAATTGTAGCTCTCTCTCTGCATGGCATAACAATGTTTTTGGGTGGAATTAGTTTTGCCCGTGTTAGAGTAATTTCAGCTAAGCTATCAGAATGTCCTCTGGTAATATCGGTGGGAAGTATAAATATCCAAAGGATTTGCAAAATCTGTAAAGCTTTTATTCCATTTGGCTGGATAAAACCATGACCTTTGGTTCTTCACTACCTAGTACCATTTTCGTTATTTGCAATAATGGAAAGACAATTTAATTTGTGGAAAAGCTAATTTACACCACTTCTTACACCTATTCACCTTATTAAAATTGGATTAAATAATTTATGTTAACTGTAAAATATTTTGTCCCCTTCCCTGCTATTTTAGTCCAACACCACACACTGCTAACTATTATTCAAACATTCACGCGAACACATAGTTTCTGTGTGCACACATGCATTCCTACGTGGACTTCTGCCCCAGTTCAGGGCAATAGTTATGCTAATGAGCATGGACCTTCATCCACCCAGCCACACACACACACACACACACACACACTTCAGATTCCATGATGTATTCATTACACGGCCATGGACTCTTCCCTGAAATATTTCCACCAGTCATTCAATCAAATAAGTGTATAGGTATGAGGGACCGGTGTGAGGGAGTGTGTATGTGTGCATGCTCCACTGAGATGCTGTAGTAAGCCTATCACGTTCACTGCTAACTCAATAATCCACCAAGATGACAACAATCAATCAGGAATAGAAAGGCCTCTGCCCACCCAGACACACATACGGGCGCACACACACACACACAATCACACAAACCCATGTGGCACAATTAGCCCGCAATTCATAGGAAGCAGGTTACAGGAGAGTGGGGTAGAATTTGATCAAAAGATACCAATGCTCTTCCAGGAAGAGAGTGCCGGCTACATAACGGCCCGTAAAAGCCTCCCACCGAGCTACCGCAGCACAAATGACTCCCTCTAGGGTGACGGAATCTCTTAAGTGTGTATTTTGGTTTTGTGTGTGTGTATATGTGGAGAAGCATGTTGCCCGCACATACCACTCCACCCACCATAAATACTCAGCAATTAGGGGATGGTACAACATCAGGATGCAACAAGCCCCTCTTTCAGCTTCACTACTGCCCATCCTTTGTTGTTCTGTTCTCTTCTCTCTTGTCAGTTGTTATTTACCATTAATTATTCTCTCCGTTAGCAATCTGATACAACAAAGTATTGTAGACCTCAATCGTGCTGCTACTGTGTGATGGTTTTAGCATGTGTATATTTGTTCAGTTTCTAGCTAGTGTCCAGGAACAGCATTGGGCTTTATAGCATAGTGGCCAAACCATTACTACAAAACCGTAATTACAACCTTCCTGTACATCACACCAGTTTGGCCCAAAATGTTTCCCCATTGACTTACATTGGCGAGGACACAGAAGGTTTTTCTATTTTTTGGAGGAATATCTATTTCCAAGTAAGAACAATTGATAGCCGTTTTTTAAACATAATGTCAGAACAATTGTAAAAAATAAATAAATAACCAAACTCGGTTATTATCCGAGGAATAAGGAACTGTCATTATGTAAAGAAACAGGGAAGATGGGAGCAGGTTAAGTCAAAGACTAGTGCACGTTGCTCAATGGGCCCCACAGATGCAGAAGGTTGAAGTAAATCTTGGCTTCATGCACCACTAAGCAACTTTCATATGAATGAACTGCCTCTAACCCGGTATCCAGTTCTGTTAATACATCCATGGTTTCTAGAGATGTGTGTATAAACAAGCAGGCTCACCCTAAGAGATAAATAATCCACAGTTAGACAGCCTTAAATTATAATCCCTTCTTTCCTCAACACCGAAATTGAGGACATCAAATGTCCAAAAACATTTAAATCATCCCCACCTTCTTTAACATGAAATGAGGAAAGAGTGATATGAAGGGAGCCACACATAAAAGAGTGACGAGCGGATCAGAGTGAACGTTTCTGAGAGGAAAAACATGTTTGATCCTCATCATTTGATAGCTCATTAAGAGCTGCATGCGTGCTCAAGATAAGTGTCTGAAATGCAAGAAAAAGAGTTTGCTTTGCCTAAGCCTCCAACTGGGACATCAAGTAGAGACCAAAACATGTAGCAGAGTGGCTCTGACAGTTTATTATTAATGCCTTGACTGTGTTGTCACAAGTAAGTGAAATGCAGTATTGTGACACACTCCTGTCGAGGTGTTAAGACCTGATGACACACAGTGAGAGGATGGATGTGACTGGTGACCCTCTCATTTTCAGCCTGCAGATACTATAAATCACATCAATGTTTATCTCTTTCAGCGCACGTCGTCTGTGAAATCTCCTCTGATAACATGTTACTGAATGTGTCATCAGTATCAGTGATTCAAAAAGGATGTCTGTGTGCAATATGCGTGTGTTCTGAATGACTTTAGGCTGCATGAGTCAGTCTCCTTTACGTTGAAGCATATATCTCTGACTCACAGTCAGGCAGAAGGATGTCATTGAGGAGGAGATGAGGGTTGAATTACTACCACCACTTCATCTCCTGTTTTTGTAACTCAATGGACTCGCTAATGGGCCGATTTTACTTAGATGCATTAGCCAATGAGGCCAAGCCTGATAAAATGAAATGATTCAGGAGGTTCAATTTGCATTCAATATCCCAATTACCATTCCTGTTTCATATGCGTCTGCACCTGGCAAACACACTTTACTGCCTGCTGGGTGTCACTGGGAGAAAAACATGGCACATTATAAAAAAGCCATCCAGACTGATTCATGGCTTGCCATTTTGACTGTCTTTATCTTCATATAGCTTTGACATAGCACTGTTGTTGTGATTTTCCACAGGGATATGGAAATTACCTGGCAGTTACTCCACTTCTAAGAGTACTTGTGAGCCCTGTAAATTAGTGTTTCCAAAATCAGCTGTTGAGATCCCCCAGGGGAACGCAACAACAAGTCGGGTTGGCAGATGGTTAACAGGATAGAACATCTGAAAATATCTTTGCTACATGAACTGGTGATTTCTTTACAGTTACCTCTTTGCATATGTTGCTTGGCACTTATTAGAGCTCTAAGAATAATTGAAGTAACAACAAAGAAGAGAAACAAAACAGAAGGTACAGCTTTACTCTGATCAAGGGTACTCTTGGTACCTGGGTGTCAAGGAGAATCTATTTAGTCTACTTAGGTTACATTTTACTGAACAACTCTTTAATAGAGTGGTCCTGAATTGTCAGAGTGTAACTCTGTA